GGTTGGAGCGGGCAGGGCTGTGGCTTTGGGGAGCGCGCGTGGCTTTCGGCCTTGGCAATGGTCCACCTTTCGACACTAGAATTTTAATCGGCAGCTCGCACGCGCTCCTTTTGGGCCCTCAACAGTCGGGTCAGAGCATCCGTTAAATACCACTGGAAAACAGCAATGTATTACTGTTCTCTGAGGAGCATTTGCACGAGGGGGCCACACCAGTATACTGTCAACAAACCCGTTTTTAGGGTTACGGATGCATTAGTAATACACGGCAATAAGTTTGCATACGCATATTTTATGTAAATTTTGCTTAACTACCAAGAAGTTTCTGTCGTTTTTTAAAAACACTTCTAAAAACTGCATGGTTGTACATAACAATTACGACAAACGCCGACAGCGGTAGCGTTACCCTCACCGTCGCGCCCCGGCAGCCGCTCGGGGAGAGCCCTTGTGTGCGCAGGGCGGGCAGGGCGTCGCGCCCCCGGGGCCTAAGTGCCGTGGCATGTACAAGATCATGTTGGGAGATCCGATGGCTGCCGTCCTCGTGACGGGCCCGTCACGCCACACAACGGGCGCCCGGGCGGATGAACCTCGCAACTCGACCGGCGGGGCCGCGCAGATACCTCGCGGCGTCCAGATCCTCCTGGGCGACACACACAGAGCCGTCATGTTGCACGTCCACCCGTTCGGGTTCGGTTCGGGGCGAGTGCGATCGCCCGGCCGATACGGGAAGTGGGCGCGCTTTTGGTTTCGGGCTGTGCGCCTCGCTTTTCGTCCAGCCAGCGGCCCGCGCGCCTGGGCTGGACAGTCCTCCACCGCGACCTGCACACACCGGTGTCGGGCACCACCGCGACGTGCACACACCCAAGAGTGTCGGGCACCACCGCGACGTGCACACACCCAAGTGTCGGGCACCACCGCGACGTGCACACACCCAAGTGTCGGGCACCACCGCGACGTGCACACACCCAAGTGTCGGGCACCACCGCGACGTGCACACACACACAAGTGTCGAGCACCACCGCGACGTGCACACTCACGTGTCGGGCACCACCGCGACGTGCCCACACAGGTGTCGGCCCCCACGGAGGGTGTGTTCTCATTAAGGGCCGTTAGGGCGGGGGCCACTTCCTGCCCGCGGGGCTCGCCGGGGCTCGCCGGGGCTCGCCGTGGAGCTGATCGAGCGAAAGCGCCGCGACCGGGTGTGAGCAGTGAGCACCAGTCGTGAGACCGCGCCAGGATCACACGCGTCGGGCGGGTGTCGTCAGGGGGGTAACGCGCGGTGAAGTCGTCGTCGTGAACGTGTCGAGCACCGCGTCGTCCGCCGCCGTCCCGCCGCCCGCCGCCCGAGCCTCCACATGCGCGCGGAGCCCGAGGAGCCGACGGTCCGGCGCGTCACCGCCAGGGCCGGCCCCGAGCCCCATGATCATCGCCTCCATCAGGAGGAAGCGGGCCCGGCCGCTCCTGGGCCGCCGCGTCGCCGACGGACAGCGCAGCGCGTCGGACTCGGGTCAGACTCACCTCACTGTGGCGTCGCGCGTGCTACTGGGGCCGGCTGGTGCCGACGTTAGACTAACGTCAACACGACCACCACCACAGCTTAAAACCACGCCGTTTCAATTTTAATCATAAGATACCGGGTGCCATTGTGAATACGCAGCAGTGTTGCGGGATTGCGTACTCAATGTGGCCGCAGGTGCCGTGGCGCCTTACGGGTGTAACGAGTGGGCAAACCCGCAACACAGCTGCGTATTCTCTGTTACACCCGGTACAACTCCTAGGACCGTGAAAAAATGCGAAGAAATACCCCACTGCGCTTAAAAGTTTGGCCATGAAATTATTAGTAACCCCCCCCCCCCCCCCGGGCACTCTGGCACTCTTATCACGCTGTTTGCAGAAGCGCGGTGTTTGGACCCTCGACGACAGCTGCTGTCGCATCGCCCTGCATTATTGAGCAGGCGAGATCGATGTCGGGCTCGTGAACTGGTCCCGAAAGCGGACCCGTGAAGCGGACCCGTGAAGCGGACCCGTGAAGCGGACCGGTGAAGTGGACCCTTGAAGCAGACCCGTGAAGCGGCCCCGTGAAGCGGACCCGTGAAGCGGACCCGTGAAGCGGACCCGTGAAGCGGACCCGTGAAGCGGACCCGTTAACCCGTGAAGCGGACCCGTGAAGCGGACCCGTGAAGCGGACCCGTGAAGCGGACCCGTTAAGCGGACCCGTGAAGCGAACCCGTGAAGCGAACCCGTGAAGCGAACCCGTGAAGCGAACCCATAAATGAAGCGTACCCGTGAAGCGGGCCCGTGAAGCTGGCCTGTGGAGCGGACCGAGCGGACCCGTGAGGTGGATCCGTAAAGAGGATCCGTGACGGAGGCCGGGCCATCCGCTCGGCGGAGTGCGCCAGTGACGCTGTCGTGCATAATTCAAGCCGTGTTGGATTCGATTCCCGATGAAAAAGACGGAGAAAGAGAAATAGGATGAGCGAGCGAGAGAGAGAAAGAGATAGGGCAGGCAAAGCTGCGTCAGCGGGCGGTACAGCTGCAGGGTCAGGTGCCCCCTCACTTCGCCTGTTGTTTAATCGCTAGACACATGGACGACATCTTTTGCATTCGGAATAACTTGTGGCACAATAAAGTTTGCTCACGCCAGGCAATATCTCATCACAAAGAAGGCTGAATTCTTGGAAGAGGATTAGGCTCTACAGCAGAGAGTCTCCATTCTGTAGCTAGAGTCACCAAACGAACGACTGGAACGGAGAGTCAAAGGGAGGTGGGGCGTTGTCAATTATTGAGGTGCAGCCTTCGATTCTATTCCTGGCTCCCCCCCCCCCCCACGCGTGCGTCTTAGTCCTCCGTCACGCGCCCCCGCAGGCCACGGGGCCGCCCTACCTCACTCTGTGTGTGTACCTTCAGGTGTTTATATCACCTTAGTGTACCCGTGCCGCGACCCGCCCAGCACCTCACTATATGTACCTTCAGGTGTTATAGAGATATATCACCTTAGTGTACCCGGGCCACGAACCGCCCAGCACCTCGAGGGAAGCCCGAAGTGTAGTGTTAGGCAAAGAAGATAAAGTTATCTGCATCATATGGTTATAAATGGGATTTGGGTGGCATAGCTTGAAAATTTCCCCCGGAAGGTATCTGTTTCGCATCATTAGGATTTAGTTGTGTGGTGATGGTGGGCGCGCTGGGCTGGTTGACATTTGACATCGTGCTGCGTGCACCCGTGCATTGCACCCGCAGGTGCACTCTCTTTAGGTCCTCTCGCACTCCACGACTTGTCTTGTCGCACCCGCCAAGGCAATGATACCTCGCTGGCCCCATTGACCGCCTTTAAATGTTTCGGATCTGTTATCGCATGACACGCGGCAATGCTGATAACTGAACGTAATTTCCTGCTCAGTTTTCCTCATTCGCGCAGGAAGTCAGCTGTATGCACTATACCCCTACCGGGGCCCAACAACTGTGGTAATCAGGTGTACACAAATGCTGGTAAACACCCGGTAATCACCAGGTAATCACCAGGCATTCCCTTGGCCATTATTTTTATATCTCTATTATTTTAAAGTAATCCTGTGAAAACAATTTTTTCAAGCTGGACACCCCACACTGACACCTTTAAATGAGTTTTCCTGCTCGAAATGAGTGAGACAATTTTGCCTCGCCCAATCGCGGCGATCACTATAAGGCTCGCCCTATTTCAGTCGTTCGCACTGAATTCTCACTCTGGAGGAGAGTAAGATTTCCCTGACCTCTCCCAATTGCAAAACTGTCCGCGAGTGTAAATCAGTTGCACCGCCGGTGTGTCAGCCCAGTGTCACGGGGACGCGGCCCCTCGGCGTGGAGAGCGTGGCTATCGATTAGGACAACGGCGGACAGAGAGAGGGGGGCTTCATTCTTCCCAAGGGCATCAAACTGGCCCAGTCCACCCCTCGCGGCGTCACGCGCGTGATGGTCTAACTGAGCTGCGTATTAATAAAGGAGAGGGAGGGAGGGAG